TCTTATGCCTCATCCAATGCTGCTTCTGAAGAAGTTTCTTCCAAACTTTTGAGTTCGGAGAATGATACCAAGAGTCCTTTGAAGAGTCATGCAAAGGTAATATATTATTTCACATGCATGAATTATCTTACAAGCTATATCTAGAAATTTTGTTAAATGTTTCTCGCTATTCAGTCTCGTTTTATGATTTATTTTTGTATTAGGGTGTTGAAGAGAATTTCAGTCTTGAACAGAAAAATGTTTTGAAGTACATGTTCGATATAAACCTTAGCCACAAGTAAGAATTTATTGTTATGCACTATACTTTTATCATTAAAATGCATATAAAAACTATTGTTCTTTTTTTTTTTCAATGTCGCTAGCGAAACGATCGTGCGGATGTCAGGCGAATTTGGACAAAGAATGCAGTTTAAACAACTACAGACTTCACAGTGGCTAAGTGCAGAAGTAAGTTTATTTATGTTAAAATTTTATAATGATTGATGGTAATTGTGTTGATTTGAATTGTAGATTATAAATCTATACGCTTGTATGCTGACGTGGGATAAGCGAAATAATGCCTCTAAAATACCGGTTGAAAATTGGTTTTTGCCAACCTATGTCTCGGTAAGTTATCGATATTACACTTACATTATTATTTACTTGAAGATATATATTTGATTAAACATTTTGTGATGCAGCAATTCATTACCGCAATGAAGAAGGGTTGTGATGTTGGTTGCATATATCGCTATTTCTTGCGTGAAGACAAATATGGAGGGGATATTCAGAAATGCGAAAAGGTAACTTTCCATAATTTTGATATACTGTTGTCAAGTTAGCTAAGTAAATTGCTTGAATAAATGCTTACTCTCATTTTGAATTTCTAAATGCATAGATCTTCATTCCAATGAACCCTGGAGATCATTGGTACTTGTGTGTAGTCGACATAATCCAAGAGGAGGTTCTGATATTGGACTCACTTATGTCGAAAAATTGTAATGAGCGTATTTCAAGTGCTAAAGTTGTGGTAATTAGTTTGAAATTTTTTGTCTTTTTTTGTGAAAAAGTTTTATTGCTTGTGATTATTTATAAATGTTCGCTGTCATCAGCTCAAGTGTTTGCATGAGGCTTTAGAGATTGGATGTGGCGCAACGTATAGTATCAATATTCCTTTATTTCCTACGAGAATGGCTCAATGGGCACCGCAACAAAAGAATCTGTAAGTATGAGTTTATGTATAATAAGATATTCTATATGTTGGAAATACTATACAAGGTTGTGTTTGGAACAACAACACTAAATTGTAGATTACATTGTTGTATTGCAGTTATGATTGTGGATTATTCACAATAAGGTTCATGC